CTATAAAAATGGAATTTCTAATAATAATTATTTTACTATGCAATTACAATCACAAATATCAAACATTTCTTTCAGTGTTACAAGTCATACAGTATCATTTGTCACATTGATGAACGAAGAAAGACGATTTCTCGAGTTCGTGGGGAAGAAAGTGATTCGTCTTGTGCTCGAGATGAGCACTTATGCAATTAAGATCGTGATTTGAATCTGTACACACAAGAGAGACCCTATTGGCAAATGCTACTTTAACTGACGATTAGATTGAATAAAAGATAATTCAATTTCTCCGTTTAGACACCTTGCAGAAGTAACAGTGTTAATTTCTCAGTCAACAGCGATTTACGCTCAGAAAACTAATTGAAGTGCAAGTGAAGATGTTTATGTCTACGACGTTTATGTGACGTCTACGATGATCATGAAAAACTTCACTTTCTAAATTTTTTTTGTAGGCACATCGTAAAAAGCTTGACACTGAATAACATTTGCATCTCAATGGATTATACATATATACACGTTATAAACGCGTACAGAAATAAACCAACGATGAGAAGTGGCGGCATAATTTTCAGGGAAACCGCACGGCGGAACACCGCGGTTAGTAACGATCGGCAAAGCTCGTTACTGGTGTTTAACTATCATTTAGACAGGATTAAAGATAATCCAGTGGTCGGTGTCGTTATAGATATAGCGAAAGCGCGAGCTACCACTTACGGTCGTCGCGGTAACTCCCGATTAAGGTCGATTTATTACCCGGCGAAGGGTACCCCTTCTGAAAGGGGAAATGTGAACGGAGATAGGGGAAGGCCGCTAAATATATCTCTCGATAGGCTTATCGTGGGTGACTATTATAATTCCCGGAAATAAAGAGTTCTCCATTGAAGAATGATTTATGAGAAGTAGCCTATATGATATCTTTCTTTAAGTGAATGAGAAGAACAGGAATCAAGTTTTCACGGAGTATATATAATATTTCTTCGAAAGGAAGTAAAGTATACGGAAAGACCAGTTTTGCTCAAGTATTTAAAAACTTAATTATATTGAGAAAAATGTCCCGATTTGTTTAAACAAAAAGATCCAACAAGAATGACATTTCAGTAAGATCAAATAAAATTTTTGATAATTAGATAAACGAACAACATTATGATAGAAATTCTGTTTTGTCTCACCATAAATGCTATTCTTGTTGAATTCATTTGTTAGTTCAACCAAAACTTTTCTCAGTACAGATCTAAAAATAAATTTGTTGGACCATTAAAATAATTATAGTAGTAGAACTCTTACACTGAAAAAAATTCTTATTGAAAATGGATAAATCAGAATTTTCTAAATCTATATTTCTTAAATCTATTATTTTTTTCAGTTGAGATAACCAAATGTCCAATTATGATGACCGGAATTGATTGATATAATCAGCATCTTACTGGTTCGTTCATTTTCAATTAAAATTTTTTCTCAATATAAGCATGATGACCTGCAAGCATGATGCTGCAAAGTTTTGACATTCTAGTAACCTTACTTACCCTGTATAATTATTTTGATAGTTCAATAAAATTATTTTCAAATATTTGTACCTAGCTAAACTTTTAGATACTTCAGCAGAACTCTTTTTTTTCTGTGAAGTCTTTAAACCATTTCATAAGTGTCTAAAGAAAATGGGATCTGAGTCGCGAGTTTATAGAGAAAGTTTATCGCTCCCTGGGATCGGGGCGACTGTAAAATAATATTGCGGAGCAACGCATGGATGCACAATTTGTCAAACTCGGTGCATGGTGTAAACTGCATTACGAAGGGGACATTTCGTTCTAGATGTTCCAGGTATTCCTTGGAAGCAGCCGCCGTATGGTGTGCGGCGTATTAAATAATCTGTAAACACATAGCGATGTACGATGTACGCCGCGATAAAGGAATTCTCGCGATATGATATATTCCTGCTTTACTTTATAAGTTCGTATTAGTGCATGTTCAATTAAATAGTCATACGTGTGTTCGCGCGTATGTGTGATGGCCGAGTATCCCCGATGAATAACGTGGCGCGCGCGGGTTAAGCCGCTTTCAAAAATATGCCAGGACCCATAGCTCCAGTCGACCTCGGGCAGCATCGTCGAGCAGCAATCGAGACTTTGTCGGCCGACGGCGATAATGTCGGAGGTGGTAGACTATGGGTAAGGTCAAAGGCGAGCTCGAGAACTTCCCTTACCTGAAGGTTCAAAGGAGGAGGTCGGGCATTGTTAGTAGCGACTTATTGAGGGAGAGCGAATCCGGCGCCCAAGAGAGTCGCTACCACGGTGAATTATCTCATATCGACATTACGGTTCATTGTAATCGGTTGCGGGATTATCGATTTTTCATTTATAACCCAAGAGAGGTAAGGGGAAGTAACTTCCTGCACGTCGTTGAAGGCCAAAGCCGCGTATTTTTAGCGACCGCGCGCGCTCGGGAAGCGTGAAATTTGCGAAAACGCGAAAATACGCTCTCGCTCACGCAATGGAACAAAAAAAGCATCGCACTACCGATTAATCCGCAAATTATATTTTAAACTAGTTCAAAAAACTGCATTCTATATTATATTATGTGCATCGATAGTCGTAAACTACAAGTTATAAATATAAATTTCGTCTTAGGCGAATAATTAAGATTTCCTATCTTAGCAAAACTAAAATTTAAATTCTTTATACAATAACATGATTAAAAAGTAAGATATTGAAATTAAAAAATGAAATACATGCAATACGGGCATGACTTCAGATCAGAATTAACGTAGGTAATCTTTTTTTACAAAAAATTTCAAATACTGCAAAAACCTCAAGTTAATCTCAATTATTTTGGAAACTTAACGTGCTAATGAAATTTGATTTGCATTGATATTATTTTCAAAAATCTATAAAAAAACATCTTATTTGATTAAAAATAATTTTTGACTGTCAAAACTATAGTGTTGCATTATCAGAAAAATAAATTGTAAAATAAAAATAACAAGGCTGCAACGAGATTGCGCAGCGTCTTTGGACCGGAATAATAATACCGCGATCGAGAATATTAGTGAACATTATTAGTGAACAATAGTTCATTTTGTCGGATTAGTTTGCATTGAATAACGATTTTTAATTTACTCGCATAAACCCTACAGTTTGTTTTTTTTGCTGGTCATGTAACTAACTGGCTTCCAACTAACAAAGACTGCCCCGAGCAATAATGTTGAAGCCGCTCAGTTAAGTCAAAGGAATGTTCGAACCCGTAGGTGAAGAGCAGCTCGACTTCAAGCAGCGTATTCGAGCTACTTTGAGACGAAGTTGTTCTTAGGAAGTTCCAAAGAAGGATGTTAACAACGAATAGCATAAATAAATTCTTTTGAAATCCCTCGAAGAAATCCACCGTCAATTGACATTGGCAAATGATCGTTAAATAAGATGAAAGGATACTCTTAAGTCGACAGTATAAACAGCGCAAAGTGAAGATTTCAGAGGAATACATGAAATTTAATCGGCCTCAAAAGCAGTTGTTAACAATAGTTAATTGAATGTTCTCTGTTTGCCTATCTGTTATAAACAGAATCACGATTTAAAAGGAGAGAGTTAATTAAACTACACTTAGAGCTAATTGATGTTAGTATGAAACCGTCCATTAGACAGTTAATACGAACTTTGTTTAATAACTTCACACTGCAGCTATCGCAGAAGTCATTTTCATATTGCATGTATGCAGCTTCTCTCTGTGACCAACTTGGTTTAAATATTGTTCTGTGTAGATATATATCTATATTACTTTCTTTCTCTCTCTCTCTCTCTCTCTCTCTCTCTCATCTGCAGTCTCCGTATCTATACAAGTTTCTGATATCTAGTCCATTCTATTTTAGGAGCCCTATGGCTTATGCGTATAAGATGCAATCGAAATTGTGATACAATCTAGAAAGAAACGGAGGAAACTTATTGTATCTCATCTCTTGTCTTATTTTTTACACTTATTTTTACACGAAACAGCCCTTCTTTTCTGAGATAATTTTGGCTCTACTTTATATATGTATAATTCTATATATAAATGAATTCTTGAATATAAAAAATGTTTTGTGTGCATCAATTTGAAATTTCTTGCCTTATCTTTTCTTATAAACCGACAGGCTATAAACGAGACATATTGTCAAGATGGTTGCGAGATGACTTTCGATAACCGACTGAAGTGTTCGACATGATATCGATTGCAAACATCAGCCCATAATGTATCGCGACATTGCGGACTATCGCGCGCATAAAAGCACATCTAGCATCCCCGATAAGAAGTACTTTTAAGAGCGATACCTCGTTTGTATCCGATACTCGACTTTGATATCTACACTTCTTCGCTTTTTCAGGAAGACATTCTCGTGACTATCTCGATTTCTCGCTCGCAAACCGTGAAATTAATTACTTGGATGATACCACATCTTGTTGATAAATGATTTTCTCTTAAATCGCTAAAATAGACGAAAAACATACGCGCGATTTCCTTGAGCAATAATGAAGTCAGAGTTGAGACAAACTCGTTATTTACCGTCGTCATTTTAGCGAAAAACATCCACTTGTGGGATAAAAGCAAAGCGGATTACGTAATTTATTTGCCATTTATCATGAAATGAATTAAGATCTCTACGAGAATTGACAGAATATGCATGGAACGGGATTATTACTGTAATCGATCCGACTATATTACTTCGCGTCAAACTCTGCAGTAACTCCACATCGGTTTCTGGAAGTCGATTAATGTAATTCGGACGTGGCGATGATTAATGAATAATTATAATCAATTTCTGTATGTAATAAACGTAGCATATGCACCGTATATAAAGTCGAATAATGAAACGGAACGAGTTAATTCGATCAATTAAACGAATTTAATAAATAATATACGTAATAAATAAGAGAATATTTTTCATATATATATATCCATCTCAATGTTTCGAACTAAAATTAATATTTGCCGTGGGAATTATTTCGCCCGTTGAACGTTGATATATGACTAAAGCTCACCACGAGGAGGACACATCGATTTTCAGAAGTTACGCCGCCGCATCCGAGCCAGCTACCGATGACAGCCAGTACACCTGCGACGATCAAGGCGTAGGCCAAAGTAGGATACGTCGACGTGGACATCAGTGACACGTAGCTGTGCTTCGCTGCCACCGTCCAGATACCGATGCCACCTACCACCAGTCCGGACAGCTGCAACACATGAACGAGAGATCCTCAATTTAATTTTACGCAAGCATGCAATGAAACGTCACGAAACACCCCGTCGCGATGTGATTTACGATTTATACACAGCCTGTCTTGTATTTTATAATTGCAATAACTACGAAATCATTTATTTTGCTGTACACGAAAAAGGCGGTTTTGCTGAAATATTAAAAAATTTAGTTAGATATTGATCTAAAAATAATTTTGTTTTTGGATTAAAATAATTATGTGATTCTCAAATTGATTGTATAAGAATGTCAAAACCTTTTGCAGCATTACTTATCATCATGCTTCAGATTCCTATGTAATTTCCTATGTATTTTCATCTGTTCCAGTTAAAGTTTTAGATACTTTAACAAGATCGTTCTTTTCGTATTTACATTAATACTACATATACAACTCGTGTACTTGTCACTTTTGTAGCTTTTTTGCCATCATTCTGTGCCTTTTTTTCGGGATGTAGTAAAGCGTTTCTTGATAACGCAACTGATGCAAATAAGATTTCTCTCGATACGCCGAAATGAAAATTTTTATCATCGCTGACAAAAAAGGCTTCTCCAGAATTGACTTCTCCGGTGTTCAAACTTTATCTTTTACAGGCAGCATCTCCCTGTTCCTCTCTTTCCTTTCACAGAAATGAATTCTCTAATATGACGAAATGAATCTTTTAAAAGTTGACGAAGTAAGCGTTTTTGCACCACTGGTGCAACACTGGTGCGCACTGAGTGCAATTGTGTTAGTCCACTGTGAAAACTAGTTCAGTGTTTAATGTTCCATTGATAAAACTCTGGTGCAAAAAACTTGCATTGAGTTCAACTTTTGCTCCACTGTCTTTGAAGTCAGTGGAGACCAATGCAAGTTGAAATTGAGATTGCGTTCGTGCTGAGGTATGATATTACGTTATGATGTAATATTACATTTTTGTAATTAATGTTGTAACAATGACATTGTTTAATTTCAATGTTTCTAATAATAGCTATGCAGTGACATTTTGACGTTTAAAATTCTTGAAATGTAAAAATTTAATTAAAAAAAAAATATTTTAAATAAATGAATCAGAATATTGTAAAATAAGTAATTTAAGTTTGAACATAGTTATATATATTTTTAGGGGTGTTATAAAATGTCAATAAAATGGATGTCTAATGATATGTTCCATTGAACCGCACTAAATCTGCACTATTACTGCACTATATAAATGCAGTTTTCATCTAAACCTGACATAGGGCTAATGCTGCTCCAGTTTTTCCAGTGGAAAACGCTATAAATCTCATTGATGTTTCTCGAATTCCTCGGAAGAAATCCGAGATTGATTATACATCCGTCCATCATCTCGGTTGTCGTCGGCATCTTCGAGAGAAAATCTCTAGGATAATCGCTACCACCGATTATCAGGGAGAACACAGCTAACGGGAAGCGAGAGTCGTCATTCATGTCCATGAAGAACTTCCGATAGGATCAGTTTATGGACAGTGCGTTTCATTCAATTTCATATCGTGCCCGCACCAGCTTCATCGCGGGCGTAAAATCGCTCCGATGAGTGCTCGGATATCGTCACCGCCCACGACAGCTGGTACAAGAGAAAGAGAAAGACAGGGAGAGAGAGAGAGAGAGAGAGAGAAAATGAATAACGGATATTGGCCCGATAACGACACGCACCAATGCACGTAGGCATTGAGTATACGGGGTGTCCGTTAATTGGCGCCGCGAGCAGAAAGCAAACGATTCCCGTTGACGCCGAGTAACATTCCGAGATGTTTCCTGATGATGAATTTTAATTTGAGATCAAAACTCAAGAGATGTGTAAAGAACAGTTTAAAAATCACTCAAGTTAACTGTCGCTCTCAGCTTCTCTCTTAATCTAGGAAAAAAAAGAGTTAAAAGGATTATAGCAGAGTACTTAAACTATGTCGAGATTACTCTTCCAAGATAACTGGCTCTAATTTTCTTGGAACCGTTCTTTAAAAGGAAGTACTCTTTTGGAGCCGTTTTTCATGTCCTTAAAGTACACAGAGATTCTCGCGCGATTCTTTTTACTCGCCCCGTACAGCGTTTTACACGCGTAACGGAAGTGTCATCGTCAAACGTCACGCATCGCGTCCGATTAAACGCCGCGATTTATTCTGCGGTTCTTTTTGTCTCTCACGCCGGACATCGTTTTTCTTGCAGCGCGATATTTTTTCCCTTCCCTTCTCGTTTTTAGTGACACACGGACACGCACAATGTTCCCTCGCGAGAGAACGGTCGCGGGTACTCCAGAATATACGAGCCATGCCGACGTAAATATCGGCCGACACGCGTGATATTTACGGTATCGGGGAAATGCGGTTCACGTAGGTCACCGTATACCGTCTGAAGAACAATGACCAACTTAGAGACCGGCTAGCATTCTCCAAACATCGTAAATATGCGATTTTATAATTATGTATTGGAAAAATTATATATGAAAAAATGTTCCGATTAAACCAACCAAAGAGCCCAACAAAAATAATAACCAGAAATTTTGTTGAGATCTTTCATTAGTTAATCGGAACATTTGTCTCGATGGACATCATGTGATAGCTGATGACCGAGGGAAAATGTGAGGTTTCGACTACGACATTGCACAGAGATGAATATTACTAGAGAACAGCGTGTGGCAATTCCTATCTAACACGATCTTATTGACTTTCTAACATATAATATAGTAGTTATTCAGAACTTAGGAAAGATACTCAGAAAGATAGGATCAGATCTCGGTGTTTTATTCGGTTTATTTTTCATCGAATCAATGTGTAAAATGAATAAAAATAGTAAATAATAACATGAAATTATTTCTTCTGTTTATTTATAAATGGAAAAATACAATAAAGTTTACTAACTGATAAAATGATTATATAATAATAATTTTAAAAAATACTTTGATTGACAAAACTGTACGATTACATCTGACCTACCATTAGAGGGTTAAACTTTGTATTTCTCCATCGTTGATTTTCCAAGAGAGCATTAATCGAAGCAACTTGGAATGATAATTGATATCGATAATCTGAGATTGAAATGTATTATTGCGTGTTACACCAATAACGATTATTATCTAACACTGATCGGATATTACGGAATCAATGCACGAGCATTTGCCAATGGCTGCATAACAATCGATAATATGCTGGCTGCATTAGTCCTAGGAAATGACAAGAAAATTTTTGTAGATTCCATTCCATTTACCACATATTTATTTATACACTCCAAAAGTATCAAAAATTTGTTTGAATATTATTTCCAACTTTTACATTTCAAATAAATTTTCCAATTTTGGATAAGATATACTTATCTGCACCTCATTGCGTTTGGCTCTTTCATACGATGTATATTTTTGGAAAAATTACAGTAGAGCGGCGCGTAAGGGAAAACTGTTATTGGAAATAAACTGATATTATTTGTAAAATATGCGAATGTCGATCGGTATGCGATATTTACGATATTGAGGAATGCGGCTTTACGAGCGCAAGCTCATCGCTGATTTTGGTTCGAGAGCTGAAATTACCTAGCCTGGAATTCGTGGTGTAAACGTGCGGATAATGTGCGACATTGTAACGGCGTATTATGATAATTTGCTTTAGAGCCGGTTCTCTATCACGGAATAAAAGTACCGTAATTTTATTCGTAATTTGCAGGAAATACTGCAGTTGTGATATTCATATAATATATCGATGGCGTGTAATTGTGGAAAAATAATTATTTAGTCGAGTAAACCTATTGTTGTATGTTGTATGATTGTGATGTTTAGATGGACCAATTCATGGCATGATGGAGAAACATTGCGGATGCGTTCAAATGAATCATTTCGCGGCGCCACAAGGACGCGTCACAGGTTCATAGTTTTCCACGAGTGACAGAATTATTTTGTAGTATACAGATTCGTGTAATAATGCTACATATTTGGTATTTGTGGCACGCAGTTTTATGTTGTACGTCTATACGTGAAGTCAAAAGAAAACAATTATGGTTATTTAATGACTAATATTATACAATGATACATTTATACTGTAGACTTTAAGAGAAAATCTCTTTTGTGTCGCGAAGAAGAATGCCACATTCGACATTGAACGTTTTATAATAGAACTTACTTTACGTTTTATAATAGACTCACCCTATTATCTGAAACACTAAATTACAGACCATAGCAATACGCTATAAAAACGAAAGGATGGAAAAAAATTTGTACATTGTTCACAAAATGCTTCGAAGAAATGGACATTGCAGAAGAAATCAAGTAGGTGAAATTTTGTTGAACTTTCAATGTGTACGATTTCAATATTCTATGCAATGTAACATTGTACGACAAAGTCCATCAATAACCTTAATTTTTAATATTGATTTTTAATGTAACTTAGCCATGTATAAACATAATATATTAAACTACACAGAGAGACTTTTCTTTTAAAATTTACCCTCAAAATATGGTAATTGTGGTACATACAACATTTCAAAGACTTTTACCATGCACTTCAGTAAAATTGATCAAACTTATTTTATACTTTATAGTAGTTTTATTATTGAATGAGAGAGATTTACATTAAAAAATTCTTCGAAATACAATGTTGTTCCACGGCTGTCATATTTTTAGAGTAAATTCTTAAAAAAAATTCTCTCCGTAAAACTGCGCGTTACAGATCTGTGGCGCTATACGAATCTAGCACTACGAGGGAAAGAACTTGAAACGTGCGTAATAAAATATCACAAAACATATTATTAAATGTTGTTGATGGTAAAACAATAACATTTTTACATATTTGATGAACTTTAGATATCGTTACATATGACATTCCCATCGTAAAATTCTTACAATTCTAAATCGTACAATTCTTACGACGTGATATTTGATATCAGGACACGTTTCCACGCATAAATAACAAATGTTTCGCCGTATCCATTAAGGAGTCAACGGCGGATGTTCCGGGTAATATTCCCAGATACATCGGGATCGTATTCGAGTCTCGGCC